TCATAAAATAATTTTAATAAGTGATTTGAATTTCAAACATTTAAGTATTTTGTAGGGAAACGAATTAGAAATGTCTGAATGCATATGCCAAAATAAGCTACAGATAGGATTAAACAGTTACATAGAAAATGATGAACAAAGTAGATGGAAAATTGTTAATATTCACCACCACTACCAGGATAAAGAGACTTAAAAGCTATTGACAAGATAAATTTTTACATAATAAAAAGCAATAGATTATACAAATGGCTCCAGTTCTTTCAACAAGTGGAGTCTATGTCTCCACTCCTTAAATCTTGGCTTGCTTTAAAACTTGCTTTGGGCCAGTTGGACCTCAAAATTCCTCCAGCTTTTGGAATCCTTGCTACCGCTGCCATGTGAGCAAGCCCAGCCTCGCCTGATGAGTGACTGGGCACCACGTGGAGCAGAGACAAGCCATCTCAGCTGAAACATCTCAGACAGGCCAATCCCCCAGCTGACCAGGCTGCTACCAGCAAATGCTGAGGCAAGCTCAGTCAGTCACCCAGCTGAGTCAGCCTGAACTGCTGACGCATGAACTAATTGTCTGTGTCAAGCTACCAAGTGAGATAGTCTATTACACAACAATAAATAACTGATATTCTAAATACGTAGTTGTCCTCTAAAAGTAAGGAGGAGGATTATGAGCGAGGCAACCCTGAGGGACAGGTGGATTTATCATACAGAGAAAAGATCACTCAGAATATGAGCAGGAATCCTCAGAAGATTATCTCAAAGGTGGAAAAGGCATGGCTTACACACAGAAAGTTTGCACTTGCGGAAAGTCAAGTTCAGGAAAAGGCGTGGGACAACTGATTATAGGATCGGCTGGGGTACCAACATGACAGTAGACTAACCTGACCTCTGAATATGTCCCTATTGCCAAGCGCCAGTTAATAGCTAAAGGAATGAATGATTCCTGAGAGCAGCCATGTTTAAGGCAAAGGGGCTGAGAAATACTACTTCATGGCTGCTGCTGAGTCACTTCAGTATGTCTGACTCTGTGCAACCCCATAGACGGCAGCCCACCAGGCTCCCCCGTCCCTGGGGTTCTCTAGGCAAGAACGCTGGAGTGGGTTGCCATGTCCTTCTCCATGGCTAGTTTTGCCCAAAAGTAATAGGGAGCATCCAAGACCAGAAGAGGTGTGACCCAGGTGCCCTGCCCAGCAGCAACCTCATCAATCCCCCACTTTCACTTTTCAGTTGTTTCCACACAGTGGAGAACAAGACCCTGCAACTCTTCTGCCCACTTTCTCAGTAAAACTTCTGAAGGGAGAGGAAATGTTCTGTCTGGCAGAGAACCTCTAGCTGTTCTGACATTTCACATACTATCTACAGCTTTCATACACTATCTTATTTAATCCTCACCAAAAAAATATATGAAAATGGTGGTATTTGTAATTCCTCCTATTTAAGATGAGAAGATTGGGGCATGGAGAGACAAGCTTAATGTAATTACAGAGTAAAATGTATAACTTTAGCATAATTAATAACATCACAGTCATAAAGGTGAATATTACATATAAAAATAAGATTATTTTAAATGAAATGCCAAGTGGAGATGTTAGGAAAGAAAATTGTTGAGGTAAAAATTCAGTTTATTTTCTGGCACAGGTGAAGAGCAAATGAGCAAGCTGAAATGGGCCTAAAGATTTTCCTATAATGTAAAAGAAAACAGAGTTGTTTCAGGGGGGAAAAAAGTAAGCTATGAAGGCTAGATCCAGACTTTCCAGTATTACTGGGGAAATGAGGCAATAGAGAGTAGGCACAATCTCATGAAATAATTGCTAAAATTTCCCAAAGTAAGACAATATTTAAAATATTCTGTCAAATTTTAAACAGGATAAATTCTATAGACCAAACACTGACCTATCACAATAAAATTTCAGAACATGGAAGAAGAGATTGAAAATTAAAGAGACCCATTCCATGAAGAATCTAAAGAAACCAAATTTATTGAAACAGAGATTGGACTGGTAGTTCCCAGAAGCCAGGAGTAAGAGGTGGGGGGATTGGATCCAGTCATAAGTTTTAGGGATAATTTTAAAAGATTAACTTGGCAAATTAGATGAAATGGACAACTTTTTTGAAAAACACTGATTACCAAAACTGATACAAGAAGAAATAGAAAGTCTGAACAAACTTCTCTCTGTTAAAATGATTGAATTTATTAATTAAAAATCTTCCCAGAAAGAAAAGTCCAAGCCCAGATAGCTTCAATGACAAATTCTACCTAACATTTGGGAGAAATATCAATTATATATGAACTCTTTCAAAAAATAGAAGAGTAGAGAATATATCCCAGTTTATTTTATGAAGCTAGCATTACCCTGATAGCAATATATATATATATATATCACAAAAAAAAAAAAAAATATATATATATATATATATATATATCACAAGAAAACTATATACAAATATCCTTCATGAAATAGACACAAAATTTCTTAACAGAAATGGGAGTAGGTTTGTGACTTAGACAGAGACAACAGGAAGATAGCCTCCAGGACTTCAATTCTGATAAGAGTGACATAATGCAGCAAGGATAATTAGAGGCTATTCATCCAACTGCAAAGAGATTACAGAGGCAGCTATTGTTCAGCAAGTGTTGGTGATGACTCTCCAACCAGCCTATCCCTAAAGGAAGACGTTGGCTCTTCTCTGTTGCCAGACTTCCCTAGGTTCAGCCAAGTATTTTATTTGACATTCTAGGTGGCCATTTAGCTCAGTTGGTTAGAGCGTGGTGCTAATAATTTGACAGTCTAGGTTTTGACCAGTTCTGCAAACTACCGAAAAGTCTTTCAATAAATTCAGTTCTGCTAAATTTAGCAACCAAGAACCTGAACAATAAATTCACCCCTGCTACAGTTCTCAAAATCAAGAACCTGGAGCTATGGAGAAATTGGTATCCAGGTGTAATGTACACAGACTCTCAGGTTCATGGAAGGAATTTAGGTTTGGAAATCTGACCTCACTGGGATGAAATTTTTAAAAAGTTTTTTTTAGTATTCAAGGATAGTAATCTAGCATAACAGCTAATTAAATTGATCACCTATGGCCATCAGAAATGAGGAACTCATTGACTGTAAGGCATGGAGGAGAGAGACTATTCAAAATGTTTTCAGGGCTCTCTGTCTCCATCTTTCAACTTCAAGATTATCATCTATTCATATAGATTTCCAGGGAGCCATGATCAGCTTGAGTTTCACAAGAATTTAAGACTCTAAGTGACTGAAAAAAAAAAAGAGCCTTTCTCTTCCCCTCTCTCTCCTCCCTCTACTAGCATTTATACAAATCCCTGTCCAAAAAAAAATTCTAGTCATGCCTAGGACATATGGTCATCTGTGGATCATCAAAGTGTCCATTGATACATGATCTTCTGAATGGCTAGACTATATCTTGTGCCCACTTCCATGGCAGAGAAGACAGGGTCTTTTGATCGGCCGTCATACCTAATTCATATGGGATAAGAAAAAAATTGTTCTCAAAATGAAGGGATGTTGGACAGACAAAAAAGAAATGTTAGAGTTGACCACCACAGAGAAAAAAGGCAGAGGTGAAGAAGAGGAAGAAGCTGACCTATTGAATGAAATCCTCTGTGAGAAAATTTAAGAGGGAACTAGATAGTAAGGTAGGAGCAACTAATTTTAAATCAGAGGAGGGATGCATGATCTTTTATACTCTATGTATACTAAGCTGCCTCAAATCCTTAACTAATTATAATATCTATAACATAAATAAGAGTACTGGGGACTTGTGTCCTTGAAAATAAACCATTTTAAGTATCTAGCATCTTGGTAACTTGCACACTTGCCGATCAAGAGTCAATGTGACAATTATGAATATTACTAATAAAATTTGTCATCATTGAACATGAACCCAAGTGATGCTCCTGTGGCCCACTCCCTTAATTATCTTGCATAATCCTTGTGCCAGGATACAATCAAGTAGGATTTATAGATTAAAAGCCACATGCACTGGGGTTAAGGATGCAGATTTGGAAATAGTAGACCCGAGTTTCCATCCTGGCTACATCACTTGCCACTTATGGGACCCTAGGAAAGTCACTCAGTATTTAACTTATGTAAAATGGTCCACAGAGGGCTTAGAACATGGTTTGGTCTCAGTGATAAGTATTCTCTGTTGTTAGTACCGTGGTCCTAGAACTTTTCAGTCAGCCCACTTAAAACATCTCACAGCTTCCCATCATTCTGATTCTTTTCTAATTCCAGTTGGAATTAGTGAGGTTTCACTGTTCATTATAAAGTATAATGTATAAATATTGAAAACAGGTACAGGTAAGTAACCAACCAATGTGCTTTTTTTTTTAAGCAAAACATCCTCTAGATCCCCACCCACCCACCCAAAAACCCTCCCCAGCCAGCCCCATTGAGAACGGCAGCTAAAAATCCTTCACAACTCTCGGGACTCCTCGCTATACTGAAGAATTCAACCATATGTCTGTTGTCCAGTCAAAAACTTGGTAGTTCGCACTTCTAAGAGCATGTTTTCTAAACATCTCTAGTAAATGGAGATTTTGACTTTATGCCCGGGACACCCTGAGAGCTGCTCCTGCAGAAGAAGGGGGAGGGGGGGAACTAATAGGATAATAAATCCCAAGTCCTTTTCCGCCCACTCCGAACAAGAGCTGTTTTAGTTAAGCCGGCCTTCGCTTTCCTCCGGACGCTGCCCGCGTCCTCGTCAGACCATTGTGTTTAATACAGGACTTTTGACTTAGCCATCATTACTCACACTTTACTGATTTTACTTTAAACACTGCTGGCTAACACGACAATTTATCACGACTGTTTTCTCTAGCAGTGGGGGGATAATTTATTTCCCCGCTGAAGGGTTTGATATTTATTAGCGCGGCCGCCAGGCTGCTCAGCGGAGATGCACGCTCCAGGGGACGCGCCGCGGCTCCGGCCCCAGGCCTGCTCCATCCTCTCTGCTCCAGCCCACCCGCTCCTCCTGGGCAGGACCCGCTGGCACCGCAGGGCACAGAGGACAGTAACTCGGGTAGAAGAAGCGGGATGCTCCCCTCCATCCTGAAGGAGATGCCCGCAGCCATGGAGAGGCGAAGCGAGCCGAGCCGTCAAGCCTGGAGACTTGAGGACCGAGCCCAGAAAATGCGGGGGAAGATCCGCTGGAGGGTGGCCGCCCAGCGCCCCCAGCAGAAGAGATGGCAAAGAGATCCTCAGGTAAGGCGGGTTTGGACTGAGAAGTGGAGTGTCCCAGGCCTCTAAGACTGGTGGGAAACAACCCCTACACCACCCCGCAGACAGCACCTCTGCAGGGCAGTCAGGGTGCTTGGCAAGGACAGCTTCTAGTAATAAGTTTATTGTAGTGGCAAATGAGTAACCGAAAGAAAAGAACACGAACTTGGGTTTATTGTGTGCCTACTGTGCGCCTGGCACCATGCCAGGCTGACATGCATCATTTCATCATTTTAGCAATAATCCCAGGGACAATAATAATCATGATGATGATGCCCTAGGATGCGTGTTGGTATCCAGGGGGCTTTGGAAGGTCATGTAAATTACCTACTCTTCTATAGCTAGTACCTGGGAGAGCCAGGGAATACACACAGATCTGTCTGACCAAAGGGCCATGTCCTGATGCTGAATGAAAGGCTCTGGAAAGCTTACACCAGAGGCCCTCAGTGCAGGGCCTGGAGTTCCCAACACCAGAGCCACCCTTTCACTTAGGGTGCTATGTCTAACAACGTATGTTATCTGGGGGACGTGGCTATAAAATCCATTAGCACTTGGGCCACATTAGTCAGGACTTACTGGATGATTTTCTTTTCCAGAATACTGGGGATGAGTCACAGCACAGTTAAACCCTGATGTTTCAAGTTGAGCAAACTCCTGGGGGTGAGAGTGTGGTGAGTGTCTTAGTGAATGCTCTTGAGGGAGGGGAGGATGTGTTGAAACACAGGAGTGTGAATACACACCTAGAGGAGGAAACCTGGAAGAAAAATGTCAGTGGACTAAAAAGGGACACATGCCCCTATCACAGCAGAAGCGCTAACTTCAAGTACTGGGAGATTCATAGTCCTAGAAGTTTCCCAACATTTGTGGTGCACTAGGCCCTGTGCTGGAATAAAGGTCACAAAACGAGATAAGATAACAAGCCCCCATCCCAAGAGTTTGTTATCTATTTCCCCTGAGACTTTGAGAAAATTCCTAGGATGTCAGGGGAAAAAAAAAAAAAAAAACAATTTCATAAAAGAGACTTGGGATAAAAAGGTGGGTCATAAAATTCCACTACTTCTGGTCCTCTGTGGAGACACTCAAGAGAGCAGCACCTGCCCACGTATAGGTAAAGCCCGCCCACCCAGAGCAGCCTTGTGATGAAAAGGGAGGCTTTCAGATTCAGTCAGTCCTCAGACCTGCTGGCTGGTATAACCCGCCGCACTCCTTGAGAGCCCCTCTGGAGCGGACGAAGGATGGGTGAGGGAAGAGGGAATTTCACTCTCCTGCACAGCCTGTCCGACACCAGCACTAATACCTGGATGCAGACACCCCTCTGGTTCGTCAACCACACTTTCTCTGTTGCTATCCTGAGGTAAAACCTTTCCCCGTTGCCTCTCACCCAACCGCCGCACACCCCAGCCTGGGTTACGTAACGTCGCCATCAAGAAATGAGGCAGGGAAACATGCCTCCACTTGAGACAAAAACTCCTCAGAAAACAAATTCCCTGAGGGAGAAACTCAGCTGTGAGAACTTCAGAGGAGGCTTATTTAGGACTCCCAGGGAGCGGAGACTGACAGCAGTCTGAAGGCCAAGCAACAGATAGCGTCCAAGGGCCGCCATGATTGCATCACCGAGGAAAGAAGTTGCGGCCTGGCCTCACCCAGCTTGACCAGCGGTTGATCAGGGCCCCGGCTCCAGGCCTCCTCCTCTGGCCAGTCGCGGGAGGGCCCAACTCATTGTTTTGTTGGGTCCACCATGAAACAAAATTCTTTCCAGAGCCTTGATTAACCTTCTTAAAACTCGTAAAAGTCAAAGTATTTCAGCCTGTTCGAATGTCTCCATGTTCTTCTAGATATTTGTGGTTGAGGACATTTTTGTTGTCAGTTTTCAATTAGTAAAGAGATGTGGCAAAAAGAAAAGGAAAGGTAAATTCGAATTCAAAAGCATCACTTTTTAAAAAGCCCTGTGAGAGACTGTGACCTGTAGATGCCTAGATCCAAGGAAGGGCAGGTGAGGTAGAGAGAAGACCCTCATCCTTTTCATGTTCCAGGAACATGTCAACGGCTGGCCTGTGGGATGCATGTCTTACGAGATATCATATGAGGCGTTTTATTCTTGTCACAAACTGAGAACCTTGCTGATGCATGGCTGTATTTATTAGGACCATTTCTATTTCCTGGCTGGTGTGTGGTCATGGGCTGTATATTATCCATTAATGATGGAAAGCTGACCCTGGTATGCCTTGGGTTTGTTGAACAGTTTGGTAGGATCCAGCAGAGCTCATGGCATTTTTGCCAAAGCTTTCTCCCCAGTCCTTCTCTTCCCTTCATTGTAAAACTCATGTGCGTTTAAACAAAAAATCTCACCCATCTGTTTTTGATTCATTTACACTTAACTCATCAAATCTCCTTCTGTCTGGGTTGTCATGTCCCACAGGTTCTGCACTGGTGTGCCATGTCAAACCCTTCTTCCCTGACTATTGAGAAGTCTGGTTTAGCCAAGAGATGACATGTTCCACTCCCTGGGGTTGAAGGAGCGCAGCTAGTGGGGTGGGGGTGAGAAGAAAGATGTTCCAAATTCCAAACCCCCCAAGAGGTGCAGTCCACTGTGGGTTTGGCAAAACATCTCCTTTCATTCATAGTACTGACTTGATTGAACTGTTATTGTTATGATGTGCAAATGAAAAAGTGTGTGTTTGTGAGTGTGTGTATGTGTATGTACATTGGCTGTGATTAAACATGTTTCGTGGCATTAATTCAGACCATGGGTGGGCTTCTTTTCTCTGTAATCAGACCAACTGGCTGACTTTGAGAGTGAGGATCTGGACTGAATTCCTCCTATGACTTCCACTGTGCTGGGTTTTATCCACCTGTCAACCAGGAGCAGAAAAATGAGAAGCAAGAGCTCGCAGTAACAGGAGGAAGAGCTCCAGTTCTGGGAGTTCTCCCAGCATTCTCCTATCTAGGCAGATTTCTTCCCAGAGGAGGAGAGGGCACACAGATGACCACAGGACAGAGCCATTCTCAGCACAGACAGGGAGGGCACTGCAGCTATGCTGGGTACAGCATCATGCCAATTACCCAGAACCTCCTCAGATGGAAGCCACAAAAAGGACAGGGCCACCTAAGGCTGCCCCACAGCCCAGATAAGAACCATGTGAAAAAAAAAGAAAGAACCATGTGAAATGAAAAGTGCTCTCCCCTACCGTAGGGGAGACAGGTAGGGCCGTCAACATCTAAACTCTATCAAACACAAAACTTGCTTTAAAAACAAAACCTACTGAAATTTTGATTATTATTCATCATTCTGCTACTTCTGATGATTTGCAGGGTGATGGCTTCAATTGCTTCTATCATTCTTGGTTCTGTTCAGGAAATTTTCTTTCCATATAAGCTTGGATTATCTTATTTCTTCATAGTTTGAGGTTTTTTTAATTTATTTTTTAATAGCAGGATAATTGCTTTACAGAAAGTTGATGTTTTCTGCCAAATATCAACATGTATCAGTCTAGGTGGACATATGTTCTTTCCCTCTTGAAACTCCCTTTCTTCATAGTTTTTGGAATAAGTCACATGGACAGGTAAAAAATTGAATACAAAGTTACATTCTTGGAGTGATGTGGAATATTTGGACTTACACGTTAGAGATCCTAAGTAAAGACTTGTGAAAATCAAGTGCAACACTGTCTTCTAACTTAACAAACAGACACTGGGGTTAAATAAGGAAAAGAACTTCATTCTGGAAACAGTTCTCAACTGTGGTGTAATGTCATGCTAGTGCCTCACAATCAGTTGTGAGATGCGTTACGAGTGATCTGTTGCTAAAAATACTTAAAGTACTGACATTTGTGAATGATTCACTTTTAAATAAAACTTATAAGTAACCTCAATGTTCTCCCTAAGACCATGTCACTTTAAATCACAAGATTCCCAGATACACTTTATTGAGTTGGGGAGAAAGAGTTCGTGTTACCTCGAGGACCCCTGGAATTGAACAGACACTAGAGGCACACACGGGAATGTGTCCTGGACGTAAACATCATCCATCACATATGTTGTGGCAGAAAACAGTTGGAAATCACTCTTTTCACAGTCTTAGTACATGTCATGGTCGGAATTGTATGGCTCTTTGTCATTTGTTAACATGTAGGAATTCCATTCCACTACTCCTTTTTGGCCCTGAACATTATGTAAAGCAAGCTTACACTCAGAAAGAGATATTCAAGAGTTTCAATGACCAAAGCAGTGTTCCTGTATGGCATGATCTTATAGTGAAGCAAGCTTAGTGAACAGCACTGACATTAATTCCATTTTTCTCTGCTTCTTTCTCCTTCCCTGCCTCTCTGTGTGTGTGTGTGTGTGTGTGTGTGTGTGCTTGCAAGTGTGCATGTTTGATTGCTTGTTTCATTGCTTAGTGTAGAAAGAGTTACTGGTTCTGTGAATCACAAGCACAGCCATGTCTAAGGTCTGTCTTTTAGCGATGGCCCTAGATGAAGTGCTAATGAGGTCAGTGTCAGGGCTTCATGTTCAGTCTGGGTACTGAGATTATTCCACTTTATAATATGCCATAGCCTGGGGGGCTCTTAAGCCCCACCCTTCCCCCAGCCTTTAGTCGGTATCTCCCAAATACATACTATGTTCACAACCAAAAGATCAAACCTGAAATTTGATGTGGGTCACTGAGAACTCAATTCTACTCAAAAAATGCCTTTTAAAAAAGTGCCTACTACCAACAAGATAAAGGAAATTCTTCTGCAGTGGCATGTTAATAATTCCCAAGCTCTAGATAGCTGTGTAAATCCACGTTGTAGTCCCAGGGCATACTATGTACCCAGATGAGGAAAGGGATCATACTGTTTTTGCAGGCCATTTGGCAGGCCAATTGATATTTCTTTGTGCAGCACACCCTCATCTCCTGTGTTCTTTACTACTGTCTGACCTTGATACAGAGACTATACTTTTAGATTTGGTCAATTATTTGGGTGATAAACACTGGAAAGTAGAAACTCTGAAGTCTCCCATTCCTCTTTTCACCTATAACCATTAGTAAAGAAAACATGGGTTAAGTTAAGGTTGACTTAGAGTCCCAGATATATCAGTTGGCTGTTTCAGGTGAATTTCACTTTGTCTTTCATGCTCCCCAGTCTTCCTTCTCCTACCATCCACCAACTTAACCATCAACTACCACTTCCTTCTCTCTCTCTCCCATGTCATTACCAATTTCATGGATTATCAGTTCAAAGGCTTTCAAGTGCTAGTAGCAGAAATCCAACTGACTGAAGCATCAGTTATGTTGGCTCAAAATCCAGAGGTAGAGAGGTCCTATTCGTGATACATTCAGGGCTCCATTTTCTATGAGTCTCTGCCCTCTACCACCTGTTAGCCTTATCCTGAATCTCACCTCACCTCCAGCCATCAGACGTCAGCCTGCAGCAGGAGGTTGACATCCTCCCTTATTTGTCTCCCTTGAAAGAAGAAGCTGGCTTTTGTCCCATTCTCTTAAGGACAAGGGAAAACGTTGCCTGAAGCCTCCAACAACCCTCTCGTGTACAAGAATTAGGTCATTTGCCCATTCACAAAGCATTTGTTGACAAGTAGATTAGCTTCCTTTAATTGGCCAGGATTAATCGGGTCTCATGGACATGAGTTTGAGTAAGCTCTGGGAGTTGGTGATGGACAGGGAAGCCTGGCGTGCTGCAGTCCATGGGGTCTCAAAGAGTTGGACACGACTGAGCAACTGAACTGAACTGAACTGAACTGAATCGGGTCTCACCTCTGAAGCTAGAAATGGGATAACTTCCCCCAACATCATAGGAACAAAACAGATATCATTGTGAATAAAAGAGAGAATAGATGCTGGCTAGAGGTAATCAACAAAATCTGTAAGAAATATTTGGTATTTTCCACATTAAGTTCTGCATCCATTCCCTTTACCTGTTTTGACAATGCATTGATATAACTGATAAACAAGAATTAACTGTGAAGCTCTGCTCTGTTGCCTTTTTGGATCATGGAGGATCCAGAGAGCTTTGTTTGACTGTGGGCACTACATCTGAAGGGCACTGTGGTGCTTGGGGACCCTCCACTTGGGCAGCAGTTACATAATGAAATAACAACCAAGCCTGAAGCTTGCCGGAACTTAAGTTCCCTTCCTAGAGAAGTGGCCAGCTCTACATTCCCATGTCGCAAAGCACTCAGACTTCTGCATGCAAACTCCTCACTCCTAGTATTTCAAAGTGCTGGCCACTGTCCGTCAGGGAAGGCAACTGGGCAGGGTGCAGGCACAACGGCTCACATTTTCCTCCTCATGATCATTTTTCCATTGACTCAAGTAGCAGCTGCTTTTTGGAGGGTCATGTATGCTTATGATGACACAGACTGTTTCCAAACTCTGAAGTGGTCATCTTCAGATTGGCCAGAGTGATATAATCTCTTTGGAATCAGACTTCTGTTGCCCTGTCTGCCCTTGTGATGCTAAAATAGGACCTCGGGTTAGAGAACCATTCATTAACATGTAGACATAGCAGTTTCTTCCAAGCAAAAGAAGAAAGGAACCTAGATCGTTATCACTGATCCTTTGCCGTTGGCTGGTCCAGAGTTGCCCTGATTCAGCTGATCCATTCCTTATGCTCATATCCTGTAAGGTTCCAGAACCTCCTCTCCGTCACCTCAGCCACATGC